TAGGGAAACTGAGAACAAAATTTTAAGTGACTTCTCTAGGTTCTCACAGTAGGTCAACAACATTTCATGTTAGAACACAGCTTCCTTGATTTGAGATTTACAGTCTTGCCATTATGTGGTCTTCTTTCCCGGAGAGTTCAGTAGTGTTGTCTTCTGTAAATCAAGTACTGCTCAGAAAGAGCAGTAATACTTTCTTTGAAAATGCTTCCTGTCTTCACTGTTGAAACAATGAGTGTGTGTGGGCTAAAGGGTCCAAGAGAGGAGGTGATTTGGGTCACTTCCCACCTAAAGCACCCTAGCCAGGCTCCTGTGATGTCCCTGCACTGACGGACAAGAGCAGACATTTGTCCCTCTCTCTATACACTCAGTCTCCAGCAGGCAAGATGATGCATTTCACCTTCTCCACTTGCATCAGTTGAGAAGCAGTCAGATCACTTTCTCTAAGCCTTTAGAGCTCACTTCAAGCAAAAGGGATAGCAAGCATAATTTTCATTATTCAATATTAGAATGAGTTTGAGAACGATGTTCCCAAAAAAAATATGCGTAGTGTAGGGGAAAGGGACCTGGGGGTGTTGGTGGACAGCAGGATGACCATGAGCCAGCACTGTGCCCTTGTGGCCAAGAAGGCCAATGGCATCCTGGGGTGTATCAGAAGGGATGTGGTTAGTAGGTCGAGAGAGGTTCTCCTCCCCCTCTACTCTGCCCTGGTGAGACCGCATCTGGAATATTGCGTCCAGTTCTGGGCCCCTCAGTTCAAGAAGGACAGGGAACTGCTAGAGAGAGTCCAGCGTAGGGCTACAAAGATGATTAAGGGAGTGGAGCATCTCCCTTATGTGGAAAGGCTGAGGGAGCTGGGTCTCTTTAGTTTGTAGAAGAGGAGACTGAGGGGTGACCTCATTAATGTTTATAAATATATAAAGGGTGAGTGTCACGAGGATGGAGCCAGACTCTTCTTGGTGACAAACAATGATAAGACAAGGGGTAACGGACACAAACTGGAACACAGGAGGTTCCACTTAAATTTGAGAAGAAACTTCTTCTCAGTGAGGGTGACAGAGCACTGGAACAGGCTGCCCAGAGAGGTTGTGGAGTCTCCTTCTCTGGAGACATTCAAAACCCGCCTGGACACCTTCCTGTGCAACCTCATCTAGGTGTTCCTTCTCCAGCAGGGGGATTGGACTAGATGATCTTTTGAGGTCCCTTCCAATCCCTAACGTTCTGTGATTCTGTGATTCTGTGATGTGGGGGGCTGAAACCAAAACAAAGAACTGAAGTCTTACATGTCTTCATCTGTACCCCAGAACACATTGGATTCTTTTTCTTTGGTCTCTTCAGTGACTGTCTCTGAAAGAAAGATGCAAATAGCTGATCATATTGTATCTCTGTAATGGTACAAATAATTCAGTTCAGGGCATGTCGAGGCTTCTCTGCCCTCCTTAATGAAGGCAATGGCAAGCCCTCTCAACAACTGCTGCAGTATGGCCACACTGGCAGCACTCGAGAGGATGTAATTGAAAATGCTGGTATGAGATCCACAGTGTAAAGTTCCACCAAACAACTCAATCAACAACATACTCTGGTACTGAAAAAAAAGGAATTATATTTATCCCCTTGATATCCTTGCTGCTGTCAGATAGACCAGAACTTCAACAATATTTCTGAAAAATAACTAGATACTTCCTTTCATGGGCATCATTCAAATTAACAGCTAAGTGCGGACAGCCAAGATTAATCTGTCCATTAACAGCTCAAAACAAAACTGTTGCTCAGATTTTTGTAGGAGTTGCATTGGAGTCAAAAACCTCTGATGATTTTACTCTATGCCTGTGGTATAAATTAAGTTTCAGAAATATAGCATCTGCAGAAGTTATATTCTGCCTAAATATTAACTTTGAAGCATGTAAGATCTTGGGAAAGAGCTGAAAACAATGTATTAATTATATAGATAATAGAAGTAATGCTTTTGCTCCCAAAGTTTTGGGACTATGACTGGCATTCTGCTAAATGGATTTTTATCTTTTACCATTCTTCTCACCATCTCTTGTTATGTCTCTGCAGAGCTACAAGCAACCATCCGCTTTTATAGTTACGCAGCATCCCTTACCAAATACTGTCAAAGATTTCTGGAGGCTGGTCCTAGATTATCACTGCACTTCAATAGTTATGCTGAACGATGTCGATCCAGCACAAGTAAGTCCAGAAAACTGCTCCATTCACCAGAGGAGTGCTAGTGCCTGAGCATTTCAGCATATGTGCGCTTCGGAAGAGCTTTAGGATGTAATTAGTTTTATAAAACAACATTAAATACTAACACACTAAAAAATTGATTTGTAGCTTGCAGATACACATAGGAAAAGAGAAATAAATCAGACCATCAGCAGCTTCTGCACCAAAATGTTAATGCACACACACATAAGTGCAGGCGCCTATAATTTATTCTGATAAGAAAACATGCTTTGGGAAGAGCTGCTAAAAACCAAAAATGATGGTTGTAAAATACTGACTCCTGTCTGAAACACGGTAATAATAGCCAAAAGTCATGGACAGAAGCCAACAGCTATTCATTAGCTTGCCTGACACAGGTCAGTGACCTTGGTCTGCTTAGCAGGGGGTAGGTGTTCCCAGTGTGAAAATCTTTGCTATGCGTGGCACAAAATGACATTGTTAGCGAGCAGATAGGAGCTAAACAAGATTGGCGAACTAAGCATCCTTCAGAAGAGAAAGCAGGGCAACAAAACGTATGGGGGGAATGTAATTACTTTACAAAAGAGTTGTGCATGCTGTACATGTTCTTTAGAAAATTGGAAAACCGTACCTACTGGTTTGGCAATTTAATCACGAGCATTAATCACCAGGCGTCCTAGAGCCTGGCTCGCAACTGTGCAATTCCAAGTTCTTACATAGATATAATTTCCTTGGTTCCAACAAACTGCACTAGACATCTGCTGGAATAACATGGTGGTAATCTGGATTCTTAATATGTAAATATTTGTTAATTATTGGTTAAGAGCAATTGGGTTTTTTTTATAGCAGACTGCGTGTCACTTTTATATGATCAAGAATCTTCTTAGCTTTGTTGAGAATTACACATTCTTTGTAAAATGTTTCCTCATTTCTCTTTAACATGAAGAATTTGTTTTTCAAACATACTAATCTTCAGTTTTGTCTTTCAAAGGAATGTGTAGAAATTCCACACACTGTTTTAAAGTCTGAATTTCTGATTCCAAGCCCTCAACTGTCTACAGGGAGAAAAAATAGAAATGAAAGGCAAAACTTTTATTCATGAGTCTAAGATTATTTTCTGAATCAATAAAGAAAGACTCAAGGGAGTCAGACTGTTAGGGACTGCTGAACAGAGTATTTTTAATTTGTGGGCTGTGTTTTGAATTTACAACAGTGCATGGCCATTTCGAGCATTTATTAGCCTCACAGGCTTTTAAAAGCTATTGGGATACACAGTTAATGCACCTGCCTCTGCAGTGTGTTAAACCTTTTCCTTCTAATGTGAGCAACAATCTTTTCATTTGGAATAAATCTCAACATCCTCAGAGCGAACAGAAGTGGAGGGAGGGCAGAGCTTATTAAAAACATGCATTACATTCAGTTTTATTAATAATTACTCTTATTGTTATTTATGTATATATGGAGTGTTTACAGTTCTGTTTAGATATTACAATTTATGTGGATTGTTATGCTCCATTGGGAAATGAAATTCAACCTTTCACAGTGACTCTGACTTAAAGAGAGTCGCTAGCATCACATGCATGCAAAATGCGCAGACCTAAATGCGTTTTGTTTCTTTAGAATGTGAAAATCTTGGCTTCCTAAAAGAGCTCCAGCAAACAGCTCTGCTTATTATCATTTAAGCATTTTTCAAAGATCTGTTAGAACGGTATTCCTATGTATCTGAAAGATGTGTACTAAACTGTGCACATGTTAAATGATCTGAGCACTGGCATTTGCATTAGCTGTATGCATGTCAGTATTGTATTTTGCTATCCTGTACGCTAGCATATTTCATAATAAAAATTTGTGTAAGATTTAGACAATATTTAGAAAGTAATTTGCTCAGCAGACCGAATCATGTGGGGGGTTTGAAATAAATGAAAATGTATTTTCCTACTCGAAATTTCTGGTTTTAACTTGTTAAAGTGAACTCCTGCAAATCAGACCCTGCTTCTCTTTTTAATTGATGTAGTCGATGATTATGTTTTCCTAAAATGTAGTCCTCTCTAAACGGCTTTGTTGAGGAATAAGTGTTATAAGAAATGCAAAACAACATCTGGAGTAAATGTGATTTGTCAGCTCAGCTCTGGATCACCAACAGCAATGCAGCAGAATGAAGACCACAGCTGTTTTACTGAATGAAAGTTCCAAATATGACATCAATGCTTCTGCAAGCAAACAAAATTTCACGAGTTCACACTTAATTTTGGTGAATGCTTGCGAAAGCTACATGCTCGAACTGCTCTAAATATCCCTGAAAAAAAAATCATTAGGATTTTTATGGAAAAAATGGACAAGCAGAGCCTAGCTTCAAAAACCTTGCAAAATGTTGATTTAATCTTTGAAGTTTTAACACAGATGATAATTGGTTCCTGGATTAAGCCATCGTGATATTATGATACACTAAAACCGTGCAAGATAATGGTAATATTACTTTGTGATCTTTAGATACCTAGAAATAATGTTTTCTGAGCACCAAAGAAAGCATAATTACTATTTTCAGGTGGCATTCACAAGATGAAATTGAGTGGTTGTTGAAAATTTAAAGCAATGCTGATATTAGCTGATACCATCCGTCACGAGTGAAACAGATGTGAAATTAAGTCCTGAGTTTTGAGAATTGATGCACCCTTCACAGTTTAAAGCATGCATTCTGTTGTAGCTTGAATCATTACCAACTTCTCAGGGCAGTTGGAGATACCAGGCCTTTAGGCTTCACACTGTCTCTGAGATATGGTAAAATTTGACAGCATCCCCTTGCCTTGTCATAATGTATGGCAGAATTGACGTTGAGTGTCAGAAATGTCTTACTCCAAATACCAGAGGATGATGAGTGCAGTGGAAAGCAATAGCACATCCAGTTACATGAAAAGGCATTTGTTTAAACTTGTACCGTGTAAGTAAAAGCAGAGCGCTCAAAAATGGTAGAGGATGGGGCACTGTGTATTTCATAAAGATACTGTGTGAGAATTTCAACAAAAACGTAGCACAAATGAAAAATCTAGGAAAGTATATTGGGGCAGCATGAAATTCAAAGTGATTAACTGTGTTCTTTTGTGTTTGTGGTCTTCTATAGCTGTGTCCTCAGTACTGGCCAGAAAATGGAGTACACCGACACGGTCCTATTCAGGTGGAGTTTGTATCAGCTGATTTAGAAGAAGACATAATCAGCCGGATATTCCGAATTTATAATGCAGCCAGGGTAAGGACGTTATTTGCAAAACAGTTCTGTCTCAATAGATTAGTTGACTTTACTCAAATCACAAAAGTGGAAGTTAAACTCACATAAAACCCTTCTCATTTTTCAGCTTATTTATTTGAAAGCAATGGTGCAATACTGAGTCACACCATAATCAATGAGAAAAACGCCTTCTATGCGTAATTAAAGTAAAAAGTATTTTAATGCATATCTCAAGTGTGGTAAATGCAAATGAAATAAATGCAGTATTCAGATTGTATGGTAGCCAAGAAATGCCGAAATCAGTGCTGTTTTCATCAGTTTCAAATTAGCTGTCTTGCATATTTGTATCATGCATTATGTGAAGAAAGCTGTGCACCAATACTAGGCATGTTTTATCCATACCAGTCCAAAGCTTTTTGTGAAGATCCTGTCACACTAACCACATTTCATAATATATGTAAGCACTTCAGGGGGACAAGTGCGTTCACATATCCAGCTTTTATGCTCCCATAAAGTTGACAGAAGACTAAACTAGGCATGTCTTTCAAGATGAGCGGGAAAAAAGATTTTGCCACAGACCAGGCATCTCTTCCCATCCAGATGGAGGGAGCTGGTATCAATCACCGAAGAGTCATAGCGAGGAATAAGCAGCACTCCCTGCCGAAAGAAGTTTGGAACTGCCCTGAGATCCAGTAGCCTTCAGGACAGTGAAAGGGCCCAAAAACATGTTAATACCCAGACAGGGAAGCAGACTGTAAGCTTCAAGATATTTCTTCAGTCCTATGAAGGCCTTACATTTGCACTAAATGTGACAACATAAAAACAGGCTCTCCAGCAGCGTTATTGTGAGCTTTAGCAGGTGCTGGGTCTGGCTGATGTGCTTTGAGAAGGGGGGCTGTCAGCTGAAAGAAACTGGCCAGGAAATCAGTAGATTCCAAATTTTGACATAAAGCAGACAAAACTCACTGAAGAACATATCTAATGCTGCATCCACTTTGGTTTATTCCTTTGTCTTGTTAATCTCATATCCTCTCTGTTACCTCTTACTCTAGAGAAAAATTAGTAGTGTCAACATTTCGATGTGTTGCTCATTTTAAAAGTGGCACTAAAATGCCCTCACTTTGCACAGAAATGAAGGTGGCAAATCCTAAACTATAAAAACAGTTTTCATGTGTGTGTTTATTATGCCCTTTTCAAAGGACTGCAATTTTCTGCCACTAACACTTGTTCTATGCTCCTTTTTTATTTTAAATCACCATAAAGCAACTGTTCAGTAACGTTTCACCAGAGGGGTTCTGACTGCTGCAGTAGCACACAATAAAATAAAATGTAGTCAGATTTTTTATAAGCCAGAAAAATCCGAGAGTTTTGTTTGGTTTTGTAAATGCTTCCTGCTTCAAAATATCTTGAGAGGTTTTGACCTTTCTTGTAAAATAAGACAGAAGCATGCGAACATTCTTCCAAATGCTGAAGTATATGAAAAAAGGTATATAATTGAAGTCGTGTTGCAGCTCCCGCTTTGCTACCAAGTTCCTGCTATGATATTAATTAATTATTTGATTGATCCTGCAGCTGTACCATTGTTCTATTCTGATCTATTTGTATAGCACTCCATTTGAAACCTCTTGTTCTAATAACTGTTGGAAATTAAAAGTCGTAACACCTCAAGGGCAGTTGAAATTACATCAGTAGTTTGTCAGCAGTGATCTGCCTGAACGACTTTCCTCATTGATGCAAATAGCTAAATTATGCACCAAAAAAAAAAAAAGCTGTTACTTTTTCCTGCTTGTTGTCTGAATCTCTACAGCCCCAAGATGGATATCGGATGGTGCAGCAGTTCCAGTTCCTGGGCTGGCCCATGTACCGAGACACTCCAGTCTCTAAACGCTCCTTCTTGAAGCTCATCCGCCAAGTGGAGAAGTGGCAGGAAGAATACAACGGGGGAGAGGGACGCACAGTTGTACATTGCTTGTAAGTACTCAAAACAGAAGAGAGAAAGTATGTGAAGAGCTTTACAGAATTTGTGCCACATTTTAAAAGATTAGCACAGAGGTGAAGAGGTATTCATCTGATCTGGGACTGAATAAATGGAGAACAGAGTTTCCCTCTCTGTCCATTGGTAGAACGATGTGAAAAGATGATGTGTACAAGTTAACTCTATTTTATATAAAGACATCCAGTGACTTTTGCAAATAGAAATGTGTATATTTATTCCAAGTAATCAAAGTTGTACCTTCAGATCAATGTACTGTTTATTTCTACAGGTAAGGACTGTAGAAGTTAGTAGCATTGGAATAAGTGATTCTTCTTCTAGATGATAAAGCACAGAAGTATAAGTGGTGCCACAGACCTGTTATGATGTTGCTTTAATTGCCCTACCTTTCTCTAATAAAAGTATATATTTTTGTCCTCCTATGACTTTTGTGCTCCACTGGTGCAGGCTCTCATCCACTCTGCCACCATCCTCATTTTGATATGGCTGAATACTTGCGCATGCTGTTTGCCCTCAGCAGTAGCCAATCTTTTGAGAGCAAGTCATCAGTGCTTGCAGTTGTGTCCATCTTCCTCTAAACATCTGCTGAAAGCTGCTGCCATGATGGAGAGGGGACATGCTGATGGGAAAAGCACACGCTAACATGCTTTTAGAAGTTGGGACCCAAAAGTAGACAATAACTTCATGAAGTTTGGTTTGCAGTTACTGAATGTTAGAACTATGGAGGAAAATCTAAGAGTGTATTAATAATTCCCACTATCACTGACCTTGAACAAGTCATTGCTCTTCAGTTTCCCCATCTGTAGAATGGGGATAATAATACTTTCATCAAAAGAGCATTGTGCAGTGTGATTAATTAATGTTTTGAGATCTTTAGCTGAAAAGACCCTTTTGAAGTGCAAATTACTGCTATCTCTGAGGTGGCTGATGATATTAAATAGTTGTACAACATCACACATGCGTCACTTCCAGGCAGTAAGGAAAGAAAAAGCTCTAATATAATCCTTTTAAATTACTTTATTTTAATTAAAATTCTCAAAGAGTCCCACAATATCAGGCAATGTTTTGGCAGCAGAGAGCATTCTTTTCATACTGCCTGGATGTGACAGATGTGCGACGTTGTAGCTTCCTTTGAAAATCAACCATTTGCGAAGCTGGTTTGAAAGACCCGCTACCTAACTAGTCTGCCCTCTGGTAATTATGAAGGTTTATTATTTTCGGTGAAGCGCAGCCTAAAGATTCTGATTAGAATAGCTGTAGAAATAATAGGGTTTCCAGAAAGAAAGAGATTCTCTTCGAGATTAAAAATAACTGGGGATGAAGTGTTATTAAATACCGTATTTGATCATGCGTATGAAGATTTGTGCCTGGCTTCTTTGTTAGCAAGTCACTTCGGGTTCTCATCCTCTGATACTGTGGGTGGAGGGGGAACGGATCGGCTTTTAAAAGCAGTCATTGCTGGCCCCTCTGCCTGCTGCCAGGGAGCAAACACATCAGGCAGGGGAATGGCGCAGCACCACCTAGTGCCACGCTAAAGGTGGAGCCACCAGAAGGGCTCATGCACACGAGACTTGTGGTGCTTTTGCTCTTCCTCTGAAACGCCTTTGGGTCCAGGAGGAAAGCACTGGGATTTGGAAGAAAAGAACTCAAAGCTCCGTTTTGTCTATAACATTTCCAGGCCTGATGCTCGTTGCAACCTCATGCATGTACAGTGCAAAGGAGTCCTAAATGGGTGTTGAACTGAATCTAAAAGTACCTTGGCCTTATTTGAGCATCTTCTTTGTGCTGTCTCAAGTGTTCACTGAAGGGTGGTGAAAATTCAGCTGTACAATTCCCACCAGGCTTTCTGCCTACTCAATTCTGATTCATAGCTTTGAGATCTTTCAGCCCATTAATCCCAATTAAAAATCGTGTTCTGCCTAGAGTTTGGCAGCCTTTGGGGGCAGGAATGTTCTGTGGTTTCTCCCTACTGGAACTCATGCCTTATGGTGCCGATGCTGTACGAATTTGTAGCATAAAGTCAATTGTAACTTAGCCATTTTATCACTTTTATCCTAGGAATGGAGGTGGCCGCAGTGGGACATTTTGTGCAATCAGTATTGTTTGTGAAATGCTCCGACATCAGAGGGCTGTTGACGTATTCCATGCTGTGAAGACACTGAGGAATAATAAGCCTAACATGGTGGACCTTCTGGTATGAGCTTTTTAACTGCACCACTAAATAGAAAATGTTCCTTTTTCTCAGAAGACTCAGTAAGATTTCTAGGACTTGCAGTGGGAGTTGTTCACAAAGCAAGCAAGTCATTTTCAAAGGGGGTAATGAAGTCACTTCACTTGTAAGAGTATTTTTACACTGCTTTCTTCCCAAGGAGACTTTGTCTCTGTTCATTTGAATTTTTTAAGAGTTTTAAACTTCCAGCCGAACATCCTTATTAATTTTCTTTTCTAGCAGGCTGAGCCAAGTGGAGAGCAGCCCTTGCATGGTAGAAATAATAGTTATGTAAAATGAAATGCCAGATTTTCAAATTATATATTTTATAAATAGCTTAATCGCCTAATATTTATCAAAGCCATGAATTTCAGTTTGACATCCAGAATATTGCATTTAATTATGGTTGCTCTATCTCATAGAAAGATTAAAGAAGTTCAGAAACAAGGGGCCACGTGCAATTATTTTCCTAGAGAGTGTTTTATGAGCTTTAAAAAAAAAATGGAGAATTGCTGAAGTGCCAGCTGCTATGCCAGAAAAGCTGCAGAACAGCTTAAACCAGCAGGTTCTTACACTCCAGTGTGTAGTTCTGTACTTGGAGATGGGTGTAGCGTGATACCCTATTCTGAAGCCTGGCCTATAAAAGATACTATTTTACAACATCCTGCTATAGAGGTGGCTGCTTAAGAGGCAGCTGTATTCGATTTAGCATCACAGGCAGGAGGAAGCAGCATCTGGGCAGCTTCAGGGATGCTAAACCAATCTGAGCTAATTTTGCAAGCTCTGGTTAAACAAATTTGCATCATATTTCAACATCTTTTCCACAGAGTGCCCAGGGTGAGGCAGGAGGCATCTCACAGAGCTGGTCCTGCCTCTTGTAATTTTAGGAGAGATTTCCCCCCCCCCCCTCAGATGAGCTACTGGGATCTGGGTGTGAAACACACTGGAGAATGGGCAGAAAGCAGGAATTTCTGTTGGGAAGAGTGAGGCATTCAGGCTCAAGTGTAGATGAGTCTCCACCACATGTATCACTGCGCCTCATCTGTCCCACAGAAGAACATCTCCCACAACTTCCTCCATCGCAGTGCTCTCATTTGTCCTAACCTGTGAAGTCTCAGAGTCTCCCCTAGGCCCTGCTCTGGACAGGCCCATGGGAAAAAGCCAGATGTTGCAGCTGTGCAAAGCCAGGAGCACCACAGGGCCATGACGCAGCAGTGTGGAGCTGTGGATCTTGTATCAGTGAGAAACTGTCAAGCTTTCGTAGTGGTGGGAGGGAGCAGCTTGGTTGCTCCTCTTCCTCTAGTTTATATTCTCAGGAGGAGAATCCTCATGCTGAGAACCATACATTTTTATTTCCTAGATATTAAGAAAAATGTCCTACTTCTTCATTCAGATAGTATGGTTTGGACAGAGATTTGGCAGGCCTGCTGTTTGTCGTTCTCCCAGAGCTTAAGTCCACAGAACTCACTGATCTCTTATTCATTCACTTTATAGAAATAAAAAGAAAATTACCAGTGTGAAGATGTACAGTTAAAGAAAATGCTCTCGATAAATTCCCATTTGTGACAGTTCTCCAGGTATAGATTTGTCAGGCAGCTGTCCCCATTTTTCAGCAGAGACTTTTTTTGGTCAAAAGCTATATATATTATTTTAAAATATAAAAATAGCTTTTAGTAAATTGAGGATGGTATTGAGAATGTCTGGATGGCATTGAGAGGCCTTGTAAGGCCTTTCATTAGGAGGTTTCAAAGCACTTATGAAGGAGATCAGTATTATTTTCCATATCTTACAGACAGGAAGGAAGGCAGGGAATGATCCGGATTTTTCCCATTATCATGTAATCCACTGACAAAGTAGATTTAGAACCACATCTCTTCAGTCTTGGTCTGCTGCTTTGTAGGAACAAATATTTGAATTAGCAAGGTTTCAATTTCTGTGTTGATTGGTTCATGGTAAAAGGGAATTGGGACACTTGAGTTCTTTTCCTGATCCTGTTACTGACTTTATCCTCTATGACCTTTCTTGCATTAATGTGCCTTTGCCTCAGTTTCTGTATCTGAAAAATGAGAACAAAAATATTCATCTACCTTTGTAAAATGCTGTTGTAAAAGTTGAAATGCTCAGAAATACAACAGTACTTCACAAAAATAGTTTAAAGGCTGCTTTACCAATACGTGTTATGCACTTTCTGACTAGATGAAGGGCAATCTTTACAGTCCATACTTAGAGATTCATCTCTTAATTTCATTGAAACCTTTGGTTTTCCTGCAAGTGTAAAAATCTGAATGCCACATCCATTCAATACAGAAATCTATTGAATTTTTCAGTCAGCATACAAAAGTAACACATGATATTACAAAATGTCTGTTAAAGAATGCCTAAAGCATTTTATGATAAATGTTATTGGACCTACCAATAGGTGTCCTAGAAAATAAAATATAAATATACCTCTCTGAAGGTAGCTAACATAAAGAGACTTTTAATATCCACCATCAAGTGAATAATAAAAATGTACAAAGGACACACATGAGTGAACACAGTGGGAAATAATATATGTCTGTTCTTTAAGACAGGTATTCAGTTTACCAAAAATGACAGTTATTCTGCTGGATCAGTAAATCAGCATAAAATGAGCATGGATAAATGGAAATGGATGAGTGGCTGAACTCTTGTTTCGATCTGTTATGTAGTTATAGAATGATTTTCATTTATTTAGAAACATATATGCAATAAAAGCAGAAAAGGAATAATTTACATAACACTCTTTTCTTCCCTTTCTTCTTTTTTATTCTTTTCTTATTCTGAAGAAGACAGAAGCAGTTTATAGAACCCTGCAGGATCTTAAAACTGCACATTCAACTCATACATAACTTGGGTGATACATGCACCTAAGAGTTGTTCCCTTTTGACATGACAGCTCTCAACAGAAGAACTTAAAAGTTGTCCATGCTTGTTAATGGCTTTTTGATGGTTGTAATATTGTTTGGTCTCTTATATGTTGATGTAGACTCTTTTCTCACCTAAAATGTGACCCAAAATCAGAAGTACAGGCCAAAAAAGTTATTCCTTTAAAATGTTTGCTTCGATGAAAAGGAGAATGAATCTGAAGTGTAATTGTAATGTTCCTACCTGTGATGTTAGGAAGGTGAAGGCTTCAGTGCAGTCAGCTAGTTAAGTCTGTTGTTGTTCCTATGTGATAGTACATGCTTAGTTATTTTTTTATTAATTGTTGGAAGTGCATAAGAGAAAGAGGCATTTCAGTGGCAGGAATAGTCATAAAACTGGCACGTATTTCCAAACTGAAATTTTAGAAGCCAAAGCCCTTGGATTCAGGGAACCCGCACCTACTATTTATTTCAGCTTTTTTCTTTGTAGTATTGTTAAATATTGCAAGTAGCCAGAATGAAAACAGAAGGGAGATACGTGTGTACACACAAAACTCTGAAGTCACCAGTGACTGCATCATGTAAAGTTCCGCATCACCATTACTTGCTAAAAATTAATTGGAATTAATCCAGTTAATTTAGCTCAGGTCTGGTCTCAGAGGCCTGTTGCACTGGAAGAGGACAGTATTTTGGCGTGCATTTGGGCTGCGTATAGAGCAGGAACAGTAGTCAGCTCTTGCCCTGAAAGGTAGCAAGTGTATGAACAACTTTAAAATAAAAGTTACAGTCTGGGAAGTACTGGACACTGGGTCTATTTTAAGATAAAATTGCTCCAAGGAGCAATTTCAAGGACTCCAATTCTGGTAAAGTGCTACATGAGCATTGTGACAGGTGACAGATGACAGAAGGGTTGCAAATCAATTTGCTTATATGTAGTCAATTCTTCTCATACAATTGCATTAGAGCAGCTAAATACGCTTATAATATGAGCTGCACCATAAGTTAATCTATGTAGTCACTATTGTCTGGTTAATATAAAGATTTTCTTATGTGAATATAAATTGTATTTGCAAACTGGTTCCCATTGACAACAGCTGATAGTAAATAAATTTAACAGAAGAGAAATATCGATCCCCTTAATTAAGTTCCTTCAATAACTGACTTCGTGGTTTTTCTTTTGATTTTTCAGGATCAATACAAATTCTGCTATGAAGTGGCTTTAGAATACTTGAATTCTGGCTGATTGCATAAGCAGCACAAAGTTCCTCCATTCACCACCACATACAAAGCAAGTCACTTCATGATATCTGTGTAAATGAGATGAAGACTTCTCAGTGTTATGCTTATACTGCTTTGTATAATTGGCTCTTTTTAAGAGCCCGAAAAGATGTTTATAAAACTGCTTGCACTGCCCATTTTCCACTATAATGCCGCTGCTTGACTCCCATATGAACATACACCAAACCACATGGCAGTTGTTGAACACTGTATTCATACATAGCCATCGATGTGGTGAAGCAGCATAGTCCTCTGGTAAATAAGAGAGCACAATTATATTCTTATGAAGGAATTTGTACTTTTCTGTTATATTTCGTTGCCTGTGATTCTCAGTTATTGTCACAGCCTAGTGTACATTTCTGTTCTGTGGAGAATGCTGTCTGGCATTTTGATAATATATGATTTTAGTTATGTTTGTATTCTAACACGTGCATAATAAATGAATCATATGTAGCTTATCTGAACTAATGGAAAGACATGTACCAAATCATGTTAACTTTGTTGAGTTGTAATTTCTATCCACTTTGTACCATTTCAGAGAGAGAATCTTGATAGAAGTGCAGTTAGAAAATGCAAAATACAGGATGCTCAGATTAATATATCCAAAGCTTTTTCATTTGTTTATATTGTAAATATTTTTTGATTTCATCAAATTATTTATTCATTAAAATGATTTTTTTGTGAAGCACAGTGAGTGACAATCATTTTTATTAAACCCTGGAAATGCTTACTGTATGATAGTGTAAACATTTGTTTACCTTGTATGGATTCTCAGCTCAATAAATAATTACATACATGATAAAATCTTGTTTAATTTAATATCTCTTGGCATCTGGGTGCCTTCAGCTAAGCCTCTTTTCAGATTAATTCTTGTAAATACTGAGCTACCTCCAGAGCGTGTTTGCTGAGTGGTCCAGTGTTGATCCAGCCAATATCTAGATGTGCCATGCCATGCCAGAGGTGAACTGTATGTTTCGAGATGCACGTGCGCAAATGCAGCACCTGAAAATTGCCCTGCTGGGTTTGCAGTACTTGGTCTGATCACAGCATTCCTCTGCAGCCCTGGGCGTGCCCTGCCCATCACTCTGTGTCTGCTGCTGCAAAAGGGGTGATGGTGCCTTTGTTTTTGGGAAGAACAACTGCTGTGAGGGGCAGTAATTCCTCGTGTTAAAGGCACCAGCACCAGAATGACTCGGGGAGGTTTACAAGTGAGTTAATCTGCTCTCTTACTAGGGCTGCTACCAGTACTGCCAATGGACAGGTTTATGCCATTAAAGCTCTTCTCTGTCCTGAGAGCGGCTGCACTGCATTTCCACAGCATTTGGATGGTTTCCCTTTCTCCCCGGCTCTCACGGGTGTCTGAACGGGCTGGGACTTGCCTCGGGCGCAGGAAGCACAGCAACAAAGCAGAAAGAATGGGGAATGAGGCAGCAAGGGCTTGCTGCACTATCCACTGGAGCTGCAGACCCAGGAGTGTCAAGGGGACACTGCAGACAGCAACTGCTCAATACTGAACCCTTCCAAAGCAATATGGGATACCCAATGCAAGGAAGCGGCAGCCTGCACAGTATTTCAGCTCTTAAAAAGATCCTTTTAATGTGCTAGCCATCTGGAATGGGTACAGTATCTATATAAATGTATCAGTCAACTTGTTTTGAGCACCTCTAAATCTAAAAGATCCAGCCTGGACAGATTGACTCACAGCTTGTCAACCACCAGTTCAAAACCACTGCAAAACTCAGATCTGAAGACATGAGGATATGCTTCCTCTGCATCTGAAAAGCATCTCTTTTAAAATGGCTTTAAAACATAGCTGGCAGATACCAGCCATTGCTATAAATTGCACAGAGGTACTGAAGAGCTGAAGAAAAACCCCAGCCCAGAGAAGAGTGATGGTCCTTGGATAAACCCTGTAGCAATTCAGCCTGTTGCAGAATAAGCTCTGATGCAATTGGAGACCTTAGTGTTTGTTAGGAAACAAAATCCTAACCTCTAACATCATATTCCTCACAACCAGCTTTGCAGACCAGGTATGCCAGCCAAGCATGCTTCATTGCAGTAATTTTGGGACACTAAAAGGTTGGCATCCGTGATCTATTTATTGAAGTACGAATTCAGTCCTGGAAGTCTCCAGTATTTCCTGATGCTTTCAAGAAGTGTAAGTAAGACAGATAAGTGTGCTGAAGGAACCCTAGGACAGAAGGTGACACAGGCAACGTGATCCCACATGTGAATGAGATTTATTGAAATGCAGCAAGAATCACGGCAATCTCTCCTAAGGACAGAGACTGCCAGACATTTTTTTCAGCCGCTGTACTCTTGCAGACATACTTTGCACAGGTAGATCTTGAGGGATGGGGGAGAAGGGGAAGGAGAAGAGAAGGAGAGAGCTCAGCAATGTTTCTTATTGTTTTACTGATACTACTTTTTTTTTTTGGTCTTCTGACATAGGCACCGTCAAACCTGTGTTACAGAGTCTGTGTGATGTTGTCCCAAAGGCATTCTGTGAACTACAGTGCCTTAAAACTGGAACCAGCTAAAGAAAGCTCAGCAAGCAGCTTTGTGTCCTCACTCTCATACTACAGCTCTCAATCAGTACAAATGATAGAGAAATCCAGGCTTAGGCAAAACAATATTTAGGCAAGAAGAAAAAGAACAGATGAGGACTACAGGAGTTAGGAATAGAGAAAATGAAAGGAATCAGGAGTAGAAAGAAGAGATGAATGTTGGAGGGCAGGTATACAAGAAGCAGCACGGAGCTAATTAAAGTTACCCGGAGGGTGGCATTTTAGAGGAGACAACAGAAAGAAAACAGCAGTGACAGCGATTTTAAGTGTTAATAAACCAAATTCCCCTTTCAGAAGAAAGTTACACATTTATAGGCCCAGCACAGCTGCAGAACCTACAGAGACATCAGTCGTAGTTTGGGAGGAACAGAGGAAGAGATGTTTTCTTCAATCCCCAGTATATAAGAAGTACATAAATGAATAGTGATACTTTAAATGGTTAGCGATATGTATCACCCAACTCATCATCTCTCTGGGACCTGAGGTAGATGAATTTTGCTAAGCTATTCTGAAAGAGCAGCAATGGGGATGGTGAGAGAGGTGATTGCATGCAGGTAATCTGTATCTTTTTTAACAGCAATGCTCCTAACAGTTTTATGGGCTGCTTTATCAGCAAAATGAGTCTGTCACTGACAGGGTAGCTACACAGAGTACTTACCTAAAGCTTAAGGACTACATATAGTAAGATTAAAAAAATAAAACATAAAGAAAACTTCCTACCCAGCTGAATGCAGTGTGGCTCAAACGGGTCTCCGTGCCACACAGACTTCATCTGAGGGTGCTATGCAGCATCGAGACCACCTTCGCTTTGTATTTCTCCTTCATCTGGTTAGGGCTCATCTTCAACATCTGTGAAGTATTCACTTCTCATTTCACTGTATGTGAGTGTTCCCCCAGGTCAAACTGCCCACCATATGTGCCCCTTCTCAGTCAACACTGGCCCTGTAATAATGTGTAGCAAAGAGTCAAATAGATTTTTTCTTCTTTGAGGTGTGGCAATGAAGATAAATCAGCACTTCCAGCAGCAGCTATTCCAGGCAGCTCCCTTCAGAGAGGCCTGGAGGGGCTGTAATGGCAGTAGCAAACCTAAAGCCCCTTGACGTTACTCACTTAAAAACACTCACAGCAGGAGTAGCTTCTGAGTCTCCTTTCCCTTGTGGTTATTTTGTGTCTTCCCTCTCCCACACCCCCACAGTCAAGAGTGACCAAAGGAAAGTAAGTGATTCGAAAGTTTACTTGAGGTTTTACAGGGTCATTAGTTTTCTGATTCAATGGTAATTTGACTGCTCTGCCTCCTAGATTAACTTCTCCAAGTAGTTGTGCATTCGTCTCCAGAAAGAGCGAGGTAGGTAGGCAGGTCACTGTAACAGAATGATTCGTCATACCATTTTACATTTATTGTTGGGTTTACCCTTATTTTATCAACTTGGAGCCTTGGACTACAAAATCTCATGCAGCCCATATCTGATGCCAGACACTCAAATTATTGAAAAAAAAAATAAAATTAGGAATAAAAGAAAAATGTACAGCTTAGTTCTGTTGTTTGCTTCTTGTTAGGGAAGCCACCGACCACCATCATTTTTGGGGCAGAGTACCAGCAAAACCCAAAAGACCATGTGAAAAATAATGCTGTTTCTATTGGATCTCATTTGTTTGTTTGCTTGTTTCATCGCCCAGACCTTGTCTACATGGTGAAATTATAAGATGATGGGTGCATTTGCATTGCCTCAGCCATTCACATGCTCTGCCTGCAGGAGCTTTCCATACACCACTGGCACAAGGCACCGCTGCTCACCTTCAACATCCTAGCCCACTTTAATCAAGGAAGCTTTCCAAAGCCTTGTCACCCCAGGATTGTGTATAACCTGCCCCATGAGCCTCCAACCCACTTCCTTCCCAGCCCTGTCATCGCGGCATATGATGCTCTTTCTGGATAATATGACTTTAGGTGGAAAGGAGATGTGAGGCTGGAAAAGGATGGGGTCTATAAACACCCCACCATGATTCTGTTTAATATTGTCAAAGCATGGAAAAGGTGGGCTTTGACAATGAAGAGTGAGAGCGATGCTTTCTGTAGCTTGTCTCAGGGAATGTGTCAGCGGAGATTAATATCTCATGGTTACTGACAGTCTTTCCAAGCTGTGGTATTTTTACTCCTGAAACTCTTCTATTGACATCTTTTCGGTAGCAGGTAGATGCCTTTTAATTGTATTTTTATAGTCGTGATATTTCTAGTAATTGAGGATTTTGTGAAGATGTGCTCAGGGGGCATAAGTCTCATTGATGCTAGACATACATTAATACTGCTGCCAGGCCTGAGTAAATGCAATCAAAACTCCTAGTCTTTCAAATATTTACATTAGTATCATGTTATCTAGTCCTACTTGTGCAAAAAATGTCAATCCAACACACACATATTTTGCATCTGAGCTCACCAGTGCTTGTATGTTTCACGTCACGATGCTGTACTGGGTCTGGCTGGGATGAAGTTAGTTTTCTTTGTAGCAGCCCATATGGTGCCGTGTTTTGGAGTTGTGACTGAAACAGTGTTGCCAACACATCAACATTTTAGCTACTGCTGATCAACGTTTGCACAGCATCGAGGCCTTCTCTGTTTTTCACTCTGCCTCTGCCCTAAAGTGTGGGCTGCGGGTGGTCAAGAAGTTGGGAAGGGACACAACTGGGACAGCTGAGCTCCACACTTGGCAACAAAATAGGAGCTGGAAGCCATTTCTAGGAGACCAGCAGGGCATTGGACTGCTTGTGGGAGGTGGTGGGTGAAAGTCTTTGCATCATTTGTTTGGGGGTTTGTTTTTCCCTTTACTTCTTCCTCTTCACTTATTAAACTCTCTTTATCTCAACTCACAAGTTTCCATGGTTTTGTGTTTCCTATTCTCTTCCCCATCCCACA